TTGATTGAACACTACAGCACTTGCCCTTGTAAGCAAAGTACCAACCAGAGTTAACGTCTCTCTCTGGTCTCTCTGATCTTCCTCTGATCTTCCTCTGATCTCTCTCTCTCTCTCTCTCTGGTCTCTCTGATCTTCCTCTGACCTCTCTCTCTCTCTCTCTCTCTCTGGTCTCTCTGATCTTCCTCTGATCTCTCTCGCTCTCTCTCTCTCGTCTCTCTGATCTTCCTCTGATCTCTCTCTCTCTCTCTCTCTCTCTCTCTCTCTCTCTGGTCTCTCTGATCTTCCTCTGATCTCTCTCGCTCTCTCTCTCTGGTCTCTCTGATCTTCCTCTGATCTCTCTCTCTCTCTCTCTCTCTCTCTGGTCTCTCTGATCTTCCTCTGATCTCTATCTCTCTCTCTCTCTCTCTCTTTCTCTCTCTCTCTGGTCTCTGATCTTCCTCTGATCTCTCTCTCTCTCTCTCTCTGGTCTCTCTGATCTTCCTCTGATCTCTGTCTCTCTCTCTCTCTCTCTCTCTGGTCTCTCTGATCTTCCTCTGATCTCTCTCTCTCTGGTCTCTCGGATCTTCCTCTGATCTCTCTCGCTCTCTCTCTTTGGTCTCTCTGATCTTCCTCTGATCTCTTTCTCTCTCTCTCTCTCTCTCTCTGGTCTCTCTGATCTTCCTATGATCTCTCTCTCTCTCTCTCTGGTCTCTCGGATCTTCCTCTGATCTCTCTCTCTCTCTCTCTCTCTGGTCTCTCGGATCTTCCTCTGATCTCTCTCTCTCTCTCTCTCTCTCTCTGGTCTCTCGGATCTTCCTCTGGTCTCTCTCTCTCTCTCCTCGTCTCTCTCGGATCTTCCTCTGATCTCTCTCGCTCTCTCTCTTTGGTCTCTCTGATCTTCCTCTGATCTCTTTCTCTCTCTCTCTCTCTCTCTCTGGTCTCTCTGATCTTCCTATGATCTCTCTCTCTCTCTCTCTGGTCTCTCGGATCTTCCTCTGATCTCTCTCTCTCTCTCTCTCTCTGGTCTC